TTATTTATTTAAGATAGTCTTTCTAATAATAGTGGTTATATCCAATAAATTTAATTAGCAAGAATATTTTAAGAAATACAACACATATTTATCAAGAATAACTAATTTAATTTATTTTTTTAATATATTTAAATTAGTTAACTAGTTTCATCGGAAGTAATAATATTTAATGTTCTTAAATTATAAATGCACGTAAAAAATAAAATTCAAGCGGAAATCATGTGGCCGATGATTTGTGCTCGTGTTTACGAGTTTATCCACTTGAAGGACATCTCAGCCTTTCAAATGAGTGGGGAAAACAAGGAAAGAAGAGTTTTTTTTTTTTTAATTAATAATACGACAATTTGAGGCTTTACGCTGGGGGCCTGGAGCTGGACGTCGTCTGGTTCCTCCGGAATCCCGACACGCCCGCATGTTACCCGTCCTCGACATGAAGATATTAGAAGCCTCTTATATTTTTTTTAATCCTATTTATAAACTTTAAATATGGGATAGAGTGTGGTCTGTTTTATAAGTTTTAATTTAGATTTATCTTAATAGTAATATATTTTTTAATATTTCTCTCTTATCATATTTTTTCACACATTCTATTTTATTTTTTTATTTATTATAAGGACATATTTAAAAATAAAAGTGTATTTCTAACTGATTTATTATTTTTAATTAATTTTAATTAATTATTCATTATTTGTGAACTGGTTATTTAAAACTTATAATGAAGATATGATAGAATAATAAAAATTGAAAGGAAAACATATTAACATGATTAATAAGAAACGAAAGAAATAAAAAAAAATAGTGGGCAAAAAAGTAATGGAAAATAATAAAAATCTGCGGCTTGTGAAGGAACATAAAACGCGAATAATAGGAATTGAAAATAAAACAAACACAAACAATGAGTAATAGTAGAAGTGAGTAGAAGAGGGAGGGAAAGGACAAGGGGAAGAGGAAAATGGGTGGGGGAAGGCGTGGATGGAAGGCAGTGGTGGCGAGAGTCACGAGGAGACTGTGAAATGTGAAGCGGCTTTCTGGTGCCCGCCACGTCGCCAAACGAGTGCCATGCCCGGTCCCCAAATGCCTTTTCTTTTTCTTTTTTCTCCCCCTTTTTCGCAATCACTCGTATAGTATTAGTATCCATCATGCCCTTGCGTGTCTCGTGCCCTACTGGTCGGTGGTCCCAACAATTTCGATCACAGAGAGAAAATATTTTCTACACATACAGCATCTGATCCTATTTATAGGATATAGAGAAAATATTTTCAGATCCTGTTTATAGGATACTGAGAGAAATTTTTTGTATGGCTGTACAATTTTATCCTTCATTTATTATTATGTTGAGTTTGTTTATATGAGGTAAGATGTATATTAAATAGGAATAAAATTGAAAAGTTATTAAATTTTAAATGAGAGTTAATAAAGTTTAAGATTTTTCTTAGTCTGTATGAAACATACTAGAAGTACTTTATAAATGGAATGAGATGAGTATTCACCGGGGCGTTTAATTTAATTATAAACATACCCTGTAAACTTTACGTTACACTTTTTAAACATTCGTTTGGTGTTTTCTTCCCTCGTGGATCCCACTTCCAAAATATTTACAGTTAATGGACTCGTGTGAAAATTGGAACCCTGTAATTTAATTATTTGGGGTTCGTATTGGTATTGCCGTAGAAACTGGAATTTGGATTCGTGTTCTGAAATGACAATATAGGACATTTTTGTTGTAAATATATAAATGAATGCCTCCTCAGTGGTCTCCTCTTTCGTCTCTTTGCTCCTGACGGTTCACCCCATCCTCCTCAAATAATAAATGCCCTGGAATCAAACGCGCCTACCATGTGGCCCCCACCAGCAGATCTTACCCCTGGCTTCGCTGTCGCCTTCCATGTGTTTGGTTTGAGGGATTTGGAAGGGAGGGGAGAGAAGAGGAGGGATTTTAATCATTTTCTCTTATTTGGTAACACACAAATTTTAGGAGGGGAGAGAAAATTTTAAAAAAATTTCCCTCCCCTCCCCTCCTCAACCTCCCCTCCAAATTTCCCTCCCCTCCCTCCTCAACCTCCCCTCCCCTCCTCAACCTCTCACCATTATGCTCATATTTGTCATGTTGTGATCTTATGTCCATATTTTGTCATGTTGAACCATTATGCCCATATCTTAAATAAAATAAAAACAAAATTGTCCATATTAAAATATTTTTCCCTCCCCTCCTCTCTTTTTTTATAAATCCAAATAAGATAATATTCAAATCCTTCCACTCTCCTCCCCTTCCCTTCATTCTATTAAAATCACTCCTCTCCCCTTTCTCTCATTGAGCCAAACATAGGCCTGTTTGGTTTGAGGGGAGGGGAGGGGAGGTTTCATCCTCACCTTGTTTGGTTTCATTAAAAAAGAGGGGAGGGGAGGGTATTTAATGATCCTTTGTTTGGTTCAAGGAGGGGAGGGGAATGATAGTAATAATCAATTTACCATTTTACCCTTACATATTAGTTTATGTTTTTTTTATTGATATATTATATAAATTAATCTACATCTTAATTTAAATCATATAATTTAATAAAAATTCAGTCTTATCATATTAATCTGTGTATTAAAAAATTGATACAATACTTTTTTATTCTAATTAATATAATAATATATTTAAAATAATGAAATTAACAAATTTTGTATGCTCTAAGAAAAATGAAATTTTATTCTCTTTAGGCTATCTTTTTTTCCAGCTTTAAAATATATTTAATAAATAATATATTTATAAAAAACAATTAATTTTATAATATTATATTTTTATTTTAAATAATTTTTATAATATATTTTTAATTATAATAATGTATATATTTTTTATTTTTTTACTTAGGATAATATATTTTTTATTTGAAATAAATATTATAATAATATATTTTTGAGTAGAAGTGGAATATTAAAAAAAATTATAAGGGCATAATGATTCAAAGTTTTGGCTCCCCTCCAAAAACCCCCAATTTGAAGGGGAGCCAAAATGGGGGGAGGGAGGGGAGGGGGAGGGGAGGGGACATTTTAGTTCCCCTCCCCTCCAAAATTTTTAACCAAATGAGGGGAGAGGCTCATTTTCCTTCCCCTCTCTTCCAACCAAACAAACCCTAAGTGGGGTAGTATTCGATGATTAAAATAAGACTGAAAAATACTCCTGGTCCTAATTATCAAGCAAAGAGAGGAGATTTTTTTTATTCTATTTACAGGACATTGAGAAAATTTTTTTGTATAGATATATAATTTTACTGTTGATTTATTATTATATTAATTTTATTTACATGAGATATAATAAATATTAAATAGGAATAAAATAAAAAATTATTAAATTTTAAATAAGAATTAATAAAATTTAAGATTTTTTATCTATGTGAAATATGCTGAAAGTGTTTTATAAATAAAACAAGAAAAATACATCAGAGAGTGAAAAATAAAAATCATCTCCAACTCGTAGCCGCAGCTTGAGCCTCTTCTTGTTTTTGCGTTTTCACCGTGTGTTGTATGACTTGGATCATTTTGTGGCCACATTTTTGGAGCACCGTTTTCGTCCTTCTGCCGGTTCACGCACGTTTGCGTATCTGCGAAGTGCAAACGCTTCCTACAAACACGTCTTTCCTCTTTTTGGGAATACAGGATAAAGATTACTTTGAAAAAAGATGAATGAATATGATAAATAAAGTGAATTAAAACTTACACTTAAAACTAAATTAGATATCAAACTAATTTTTATATTAAAAACTAAAAGTAGTATGAAAATACTTAAAAACATTTAAAATTTAAAAGCGTTAAGTCGCATCCAATATCTCAAAATATTTTCTCAGGCGCATCCAACATTCTAAAGTATTTTGTGATGTATTCAATACTGAAACATCCTGAAAAAAGTTTTTGAGTGCGTTCAGTACCGTAAAATATTTTTAGGTGCATTCAACGTTCAAAAATATTTTTTGGTACATCCAATATCAGTGCAAAAATATACTTCAGGGTGTTGGGTACCCCTGAAAAGTATTTTAAGGTGCTGTATATATTACAAAATGCTTTAAGGTGTTAGATGCATCTAAAAAAATGTTTTAGGATGCTAGATATACCTTAATCTAGTTTAAAATAACTAAATACAAACAAGGCTGCAGATCGTGATGACTTTCTTTTCTCTACCTTTTAAAGTACGACGAAACTAATGAAATCATGACCGTATTACAAGTTACAACTTACTGTATGTTTGAATTATGGGTAACAAAACTAATTTATACAAACTTGTATTAAAATAAAAATCAGTTAAAAATATTAAAATTTGTTTGGATAATTAATAAAAAATAAATTTTCATATAAAATAATTAAAATGGATATAAATTTTATTGAATAATAGTATTTTATATTATATGATTTTAATGTGAAAATTGTTAAAAATTATAATTATAATTATAAAATAAAAATATTTGTTAGCAAGAAAATTATAATGGGGATTTTAAATTAATAAAAAAATTTAAATTAAACGGTTTGTATGAAGTTATCTTAACCTCATAAAATGTCATGAGTAATGTAATTGATTTTTCAAACGCACGAAACCATAATGATTTTGACATAGATATTGCTATTCAAATTAAATTTTATTATTTTGTATGTCAATATTAAAATAGGATATCTAACAAAACAATCAAGACAAAATATCCCTAATCTCTATCCTGAAACGCATCGAACATCCAGGAACCGGGGGATCCAGAGCCTGTAGTGAGGATGTGAGGAGAACCTTACACGTTTGAGGGGGGGGGGGGTTTAAAAGATAGTAATATTAAATTGATTCAAATATTTAAGCACGTGAAATGAATTGTTGGGTTTGGCGTCAAGCGCCGTGACCTGACCTTCCTACCCCGGCCATTTCACAGCCACTCTAATCACACATACGTTTTCGTAATTTATTTTCTGAAAAAAAGGAAAATTCAAAATTCGCGCCTATAAATACGGTGCTGTAGTGTCACAGCAATGCATTGCAAGCTCGACTCCTCTCTCTGAAACATATCCAGCCAACCCCTTCGCTTAGTAGTTACCAGAGAAAATCAGCCATGGCCGGCATCATTAAGGCTATTCTGAACCACGGTGAGCACGAACACAACCCTTTGACCCTCTCCGATGAGCAAATCCTCGACCAAATTTACACCACCCACGTTCATTCTGATGCCAAGTTTGATGTCGCCCCTCTTTTTGATCTTGTTGACAACATCCTTAAGCGTTCTACCCACATTGTTGACAACGTCGTCCAGGTCTGCTGTTCTGCTCTTTCCTTTTGGGATTTTCTTTCCTTTAGTCCTCTGGCTCCATAATTGTTTGCTTGAGTAACTAATGGAGCTGGTCCTTGTAATTACATTTACAGGGACACACTGGAAGCCCAGAGCACATTGACGATAAGATTCCCCACGCCAGCTTCTTCTCGCCCTTGTGTACTATCAAGCAGATTTCATCTGAGGTGGTTTTCCTTCTCCCACTCATCTGGAACCTTTTAAACTGTGAAGCATGATACAAGCGCACTTATGTGTACTATGAGACAAATTTTTGTAAAGAGGCAAATGCCATCAGGCCGTTGCCAACTGCAGCAACTGAGTGCCTATTCAAGAAGTTTTCCTTCACGATATTCTAAACAATATCTGCAATTTTTAACCCTTTGTGATAAAGATAATCAGATCCAACCAAACATCTGAGAAAGAAAATGTGAAACATCTTTTCCCGGCAGCACATGCCTTTTTGCTTTGTGTTTTTCATTCTATAAAGAAAACAGAGGATTTGCTCTATTCTTCCTGCAATTTATGTTTTACCGCGTGCGGAATCTTTTAACAAATATCTCATAACTAAGTTCTAAAGTAATAATGTGTGATGGTTTAAGACAATAAATTGAGCACCTTGAGATGGTGTGGTTGTGCAGATGTCATGCAAGCCTCCTGGCGAGGACGTAGCTCACAAAACTACACTCTCAATTCTCAACAAGCTGTCAGGCTATAATTGGGATGCGAAAGCAGTGCTTACTTTGGCTGCTTTTGCTCTGGAATACGGTGAGTTTTGGCTTCTTGCTCAGCTTCAAAACCAGCCCCTAGAGCCGATAGCTAAGTCAGTGGCCATACTAAAAAGAGTTCCCACCCTCACTAAGCCTCAAGCCGTCCGAAAGCACCGCCAAGCCATTGTGGAGATCAACAACCTCATCAAGGCCACTTTGCAAGTCATTGAGGTCATCTTTGAGCTCGAAAGCCTCTCCTCCTATGACACCAGGGATGTTCCTGCTCTGGGACCTGCCCTGGAGCAAATCCCTGTTGATGTCTATTGGTCTATCATTACCATTGTTGCTATCGTCACTCAGATTGATTGCCTCACCACTGACTCGTGAGTAACTCTTTACAAGATCGGTACTAATATTTTTTTTTCATACTCTGAACATGTCTTCCTAATCAAGTTTCGTGACAATGGCTTTTTCAGTGAGCATAAGCAGGAGCTGTCACATTTTGGTCAGAAGATCAACATTATACTCAGCAAATTGAGGAAGCAAGTTTTACAATGCCGCCAACAAATAGGTAATTGTTTAATTAGTTGATATAATTGATAGTGAGCTACCCTTTTTACAATGTTGAGGAAATCTTATTGGTAATTTTTCAGATGAGGCAAACTACAACAAGAGCGTGAGAAAAATGTTCCAAACACCAACTGAAATTATGGAAATGCTTAAGGTGCTCCTTTTTTGGAAGGATGTTCCTCAAACCCCCATCTATGATGGTGCTACTAAAACACTGGTTCGTCCCTTGTTTCTTCTAAAATTATGCTTATTGGATTACAGAATCCCAACTAGACGTGTCGGGATGAAAACCGCTGGCAGACCTTGTTAGCTCTTATGCTAAAACTTGATCCCCCAACGAAGCTAGCCCAATGGCTAGAGTGGAATACTTTATAAGTGTGAACTAAGTTTCATATTGAAATAAGCTTCATTAGTGTAGGTGTCATTTTTCATGATGAATTATGTTAACAAGATTTATGTGGCGAGCAGGTGTAACATGAATAGGGTTGGTTTGTGAGTTTGAATACTTCTTTTTCACTAATTAGTTGGTCCGGTTAGCTTTGATTATGGACTCATTTATTGGCTGAACAGGTTAGTTTGGAAGTGCTCAGAAAGCAGAATGTGTTCTTGTTCGTGTCAACCTTGGACATTACGGAGGAGGATATTTCTATTTTAAGGCCAGTTTATGAGAGAACAAGGAGAGAGAGCCACTACAGGATTGTTTGGGTTCCCATTGTGGAAGAATGGAACGATCAATTGAAAAAGAAGTTCGAGTTTCTCAAGATCAGGATGCCTTGGCTTGTGGTCCACCACTTTGGATCCACTAAGGGATTCAAGTTTATTAAGGAGGAATGGCATTTCAAGAAGCAGCCTATGATTGTAGTGATGAGTCCTCAAAGCAAGATTTTGCATCAAAATGCATTCCACTTGCTTCAGGTTTGGGGTTTGGAGGCTTTCCCTTTCACCAGCAAAGAAGAAGAAAGGCTCGAGCAGGAATCAAGTTGGATATACTCTCTCTTCCAAGACCATCCAAAGGCACCCTCGGTAAGCATGTTTCCTAATTTACATGTACACAAACTTGACCGGATCCAGATTGCTAATCACATTTTATATGGTACAGATTAAGGGAAACAAGCATATCTTCTTCTATGGAGGCAAGGACAAGGAGTGGATCCAACAATTCACTAAGTATGCGGGGGCCCTTGCAAATGATGTAACTATGAAGGAGGCAGGAATTTCGATTGAGCTGTTTTGTGTGGAGAACGAGCATCAAAGCGTGTTAAGCAAATTTTGGAGCGGGATAGAGAGCTTGTTCGTAACCAAAATGAACAAGACTACCAACGCAGTGACTCAAGAGGTTCAAAAGATGCTGTCCTACAAAAACGAGACCGGGTGGGCTCTTCTTAGCAAAGGGCCGACAGTTGTGGTTGCCGGTCATGGCACCACCATTATCAAGACTGTGGCTGAGTTCGACAAATGGAAGGAGGTGGTGGCGAAGCATGGCTTCGAGGTGGGTTTTAAGGAGTACCACCAGAAGGTGGTTAAGACCATTCATAGGTGCACCTACCTTGAGATTCCTAACGTTGCCGGAAAGATACCGGAGATCATCAAGTGTCCTGAATGTGACCGTACTATGAACGTGTTCGTCAGCTACAAGTGTTGCCACAATGGGGGCTCTGCCTAAACTGGATCCCGACGCCGTGGAAATCAAGGACGGGAAGTTAATAAGTTATGAAAAGCCACATGTTTCGCGACATTAATTCTCTTTCCTTTTGTTTATCATTATCTAAATAAGGGCATTTTCGATTTAGGCAGTGTTGTCATGAGCAACATGTTTCTTCTTCTTCTTCTTATGGTTTGAGTATGTTTCGTCAGCGTCATGAACCCTACTAGTGTGCAAGTCTATTAATAAATTTATGGTATTTCGATTATGAGCATGTTGTGAGTACTATGATGTCCTTTGGCGTTTGTTTTCCACGGGGAGCTTAATTTCGGCGGTCATGATTTTTCCCGCTTTTTTATTCAAGAAAGACAGTGCTAATAAATGGGGTTGCCCTAAAAGTAGGTGGAGGCAATAATGGAGAAAAAGCAGGGATGCTGTCCCCTCTATGCTGCGTCCTTCGATCAATGGATAGCGATCCCCCATTTGGCAACAGTGTATAGCTTGTCGTTCGTCCCGTCTTGTCTTCCCTGCTTGACCTTCTCTGTATAAAACACAACGGTGCTTTTTGTTTGAACATTAATATGACGATTTGATATTTAATTTCTTTTATAATGAATTAAAATTAAGGAAAATTAATTTGGTTAAAGTGGCGACAAAATTCATTGAGCATCTCTTACGCGGAACTAGCAGTCCTATTCTAATTTCATCTCTGCGTCTGCCACGTTTCTTTGTCCGGTTTGCGTGTGTCCCTGTGTCCCAATAATTCTTACCGCCACTGCCTCACCTTCGTGCTCAGCTTTATCGTGCTCTAAAAGCAAAAATGAATTTCCATAAAAAATTTTGTTTGAGAGAATTATAATAAAATTTTGGAAAAAATAATCATTAAAATATTCTAATAATAAGCTGAACAGTAAAGAAGGACAATCTCTGTAAGTTGGTTTATAATTTTTTTTAGAATCTCACTGTAACTTTCTCAAAATTTTATTACTTGTATTATATTTATATTTGTGTATAGATTAAGGAGCAATTTTAATCTTAATCTTGTTTTTCAAGTGCAATTTTACCCTTGAACTTTCAATTGCACAATTTTGTCTCTTATCTTGTTTTTTATATGCAATTTTGCCTTTCATCTTTTTTTTAGATGCAATTTTATCCATAATCTTTAGGTGCAATTTTGCTCCTCAGGGTTAAAATTACATGCACAAAAAAAATCGTTGTCAAAATTGTACCATTATAAAGGTTAGGGGTAAAAGTGTACTTAAAAAATAAGATTATGGTCAAAATTACACCTTAACCTTATCTTTATTTAATTTTTATTAGAAACAGAAAAATATGATAATGAATTAAAATTTTTTGACAATTAAATGTATTTCTTAACATGTAAGTAGTATCTTACTAATGATTTATATTAAGAAAGAAAACGAGAGTTACATGGCTTTCTCTCATACGCATTATTTACGAGGTCTGAGGAAGGCGCACCATTTTCTTAAGAAATAGTTTTACAATTCTTTTTTTCTTTTGTATTTTATATTGGTTAGAGTTTCTAAACATATAATGAGCAGTTACTTTTGAGTTAGGGCTTAGCAGATACATGTCAAAGGTACTAAATTATTTTTTCCCAAAAAGGATTATTATTTTTTCTGGAATAGTTTTTCTTTGAAAAAATTAATAAAAAAGCTGAAAATTAATAAATCTCAAATTAGATTTACAAACAATAATTTATTTATTATTGAAAATACTGAATTTGTAAATAACAATAAATTTTTATTGATATTCTTATTTAATATTTAGGTTTTTTTTAAATTTTTTTCCTATCTGGAATGAAAAAGGAAAAAAAAACGATTTTTGGTCTGGTCAGGGGTAACGTGTGCAGGAGATGGGGAAAGGTGATGTAGCTTTAAGGAAAGAAGGAAAGAAAGAGTCAAAATGGGAGAAAGAAAACAGCAAATTGGACGGAGGGGTTAAAATTGATAGGGCGGTCATAAGAAATTCACCCACGCGTTCCCTCCTTCCTGACATTTTAAGTCATCTTTTGAGTCTTTTCTCAGATAGGGCTTCTGTGTAGCTGCCCTCAAACCTAAAAAGGAAGGCAAAGCTTCCGTAAAAGCAACAAACGGTCAAAGCCCTGTGGCCTCTCATATCTATGCGCGTCTTTTTATTTCATACCCTTATACCTCCTCTCTCTCTCTTTTATCTCTGAGCCGAAGGATCTAATTGAAAATCTTCCGTTTAATGCTGTGCTGGCAATGTACCAAACATTAATAATTATTAACACAACAAATCATATAAATAACTCTAATGGTATCATATTAGATCCTATTCTAAGAGAATGTTTGGCAAGATAGAAAAATACTTTTTAAAAATATTTTTTCATAAAACGAGACAGATTCATCTACATATTTATTTCGTATACCGTAAAAATACTTTTAAAACTATAGTTTGGCTTCCATCCAAACACCTTTTAAGTATAAGATCTTGTTAGTATTACTAAAAAAAGGGTTTGGATGCTGGTTGTTGTAATTAGTTTCGATTATTGAAATTGAAAATTTTTAACTGATAATTTTTAAATGAAAATATTTTAAAAAGATGTTAAGAAATAATCTATATTTTAATATTTTAGTCATTAAAATATTACATTATTAAAAATATAAAATAAAATTATATTTGAAGTGTAGCTAGAAATTGTGATATGAGCATTCCTTGTTAGCAGTTACTTAAGTTGCCTGAATCAGTGACTCATACGATCAAAATTATACTCAGTTTTCGTATCCGCCATTAAAATAATGATTCCACATATCAGGGAAAATGTCACAAGCACAATAGAAAATTTGCGAACGAGAAGGAACACGAATTATACGCCGTGTCAGCATAAAAGTAGAGCAAAGTCTAAATAACATTTATAGATAGGCATATAGATGATTACTTTTCTGATTTTATTTTCATTATACTTCACATATACTAAAAAAAAATCTTAACTTCATTAATTTTCATTTAAAATCTAATAATTTTTTAATTTTATCCCTATTTAATATATATTATACCTCATGTAAACAAAATTAATATTATAATAAATGAAGGGTAAAATTATAAATCCATATAAAAAATTTTCTCAATTCCTTATAAATAAATGTAAAAATATATTCTCTTCCTATCCAATAGAACCAGAGGAGTACTTTGCAGGATTTAGACTTAAGTGTGTGCAGTGTTGATCACATAATAATAAATGGGGATGTTTAGATAGAAACCAAATCATAGTTTGTCTATAAGAGCCTGATAAATAAGTTTAGATGATTTAAATAAATAGTTAAAATTAATTAAAAGTAATAAATATATTAAAAATAATTTTTTTTCTAAACATATCCTAATTCATCAAAAGCAAATAAGATATAGAAAATATGAAAGAGAATGTAGTAAACTTTTTAATTAATATAACATATAAAATTAATTAGAGGTAAAAATTGTAAAAACACATCAAATATTCAGATAACCAAAAGATGGATCTTATAAAAACGACCAAAACAGCGTAAACCTCGGGCTCTGGTAATAATTACCCGCCAGCTCACGCAAATTCGCCGATACGTAGCATTTTAATTCGAAGCACGTGGGAGCAAAAACTTGATTAAAGGTTCACAGGTTTGGCACTGGAGTGACCTCCTATCCTATGTCAGGTCTAAACAGATATTCCTTCTCGTTGTCATCATAAAATAATTTTTATTATAATTTAACATGAGAAATATTAATTTTTTGAGTACTTATAGTTTATTTTATTTTTTTACGTACTATAATTTACAATACTAAATAAGGACAAATTTAGAAATGTTAAATTTTGAAATAAAGTTAATAAATTAACCCCACTCTTGTCAGTTTTAAAAAGAAAATACTGCTTCTATTTTAAACGCAAGACTCATTTTAGCAGGTGAAGGAGAGAGAATGGCAGAGGAGGAGAACAGAAGGTGGGGTAAAAAAATAGTAGAAAAAAAGGTAGCAGGGGGAGAGTGGTAAAAAGGCACAGGGGGCAGAGAAGGCATGTGAAGGAGAGAGAGTGGAGCTGGGACCGGGCAAGCAATTATGAGGGTTATCCTATCCAGATGCCAGGGCATGTACGGATCTCGTGACTCCGCCACCTCAGTGCCATGGGGAATTTTTTTTTTTGGAGGATTAATAAGAAGACGTTATTGATATTTTCCATTTGGTTTCCAACAATAAAATACAATTTTATTATTTAGATATCTTCAATTTTCATGATATCTTTGTTTCATCACCATTTTTCCCATTTGGTTTCATAATTATTTTTACAAACTGAAACTAAATTTTGAATTTGTTAAAAGTCCTTTTTCTATTTTGAGAAGGTATTTTCCAAATTAAAATATAGGCGGAAATCATGTGACGATATGGCCTGTGACCTGCGTGTCGGTGTTATCCATTGAAGGGAATCTGAACCTTGGAAATTTGGCGGGGAGCGACAAATAAAGAGGACAATTTTAAATGATGCGTGAATTTGCGCATGTGGGGAAAAACAAAAAGAAAAAGGCCAAAAAAGGTGCCTCTGCCGCTCTGCGATTGGACCAAGGGCCTTTTTTTTGACCTGATAGACCAAGAGCTGACATCTCCACGTTTCCCGTTCTCCGTTTTTCTCAAACGAAAAAATGGGGTATGAAGATTAGCAAACCCGCATCCCTCTAAAAATTAGTTATTGTAATGTAATTTATATTTATATTGATTTTTATAAAAAGTTAGTTTAAAGAATTGAAACTTGTTTGAATGATTAATGAATAAATATGTTTAGATACAAAATAACTGAAAATGATCTAAACTTTGTTAAGGGTGTATTTGGGTAATTGCCCAAACTATGATTTGGACAAAAAATTTTCCAAACACCCATAAAAAATCAAAAATCATGGTTTTGGCCTAACCATAGTTTGGAGAGAAGGGGTTTTTGAATATGCTTTTGGGAAAAAAATTGGAGAGTATCAAATGGCTTTTTTTAATGCCAACGGATGTGACGATTTGTTTTTTTTTTACCAGACAGATATACCTCTCAATCTTCCGCCCTCGGTCCTTCGCTATTCAGGGGTAGTATGTTGTTTTTTTTTACCGGCAAAGAGGTAATACATTGTTACATTCTCTTCTACTTTCAGTACTTTTTTTTTATTCATTTCCTTTCTGTTTACAAAAAATTATTCATCTTTTTCAAAAATATTTTTCATCTTATAGTTTATAAATATTATTACACACATAGTA